GCAAGTGGGGGGATCTCCAGGGTAGGGTTTGGACGGGGCTCCCCAAGCGCGGCGGGGAGCTCCAGGGCTGGGGAGGCTCCCCATAAGATGGGGAGCCGCTCCAGGGCTGGGTCTGGGGACTCCAGCGCGGGGTCTGGGGCGGTTGCTCAAGGGGGTGTGGGGAGGGTCTCTAAAGGGGGGAGTGCCCAAAGAGCTGCGCATGCGGCTCCTTTTCCCATCTCCCGCAAACTTTCGCGCATGCGCACGGACCCTCCTTGCCCGCCCGCAGAGAGGCACACGCGCACTTCCTCGCGCGCCATCCTCCTCTCCGGGCATGCGTATGGAAACCCCCCCTGCGTATGCCACCGCCCTTCCCTGACGTCACGGGCGCTCTCGGCCTTCCCATTGGTCGGCCCGGCGAAGTCTCCCAGCATGCTTCGCGACTCGGACTATTTATGCCCCACCTGCGAGCTTTTTCGGCCATTTACTGTGAGTTGCCGCAGGTGAGTAGGTGGGGGGATCTGCTGCCATCCGCCGCCTGCTCCGCCCGGGGGTTCCCGCGCCCTGTGGGGCCGCTGCTGCCTCTCGCCTCCCCACTCCCCGGCGGTATTGCGGTGGAGAGCGGGGCAGGGACCGGTTGATGTCCCCCGGGGCACCATGAAATGCCCATGTGCAGCTGCCCCTGCCCCCCCATAGCCCCTGCCCTGGAGATTCACCCCCTTGGAGACCCCCAAACCCTGCCCTCAAGACTCCCTAATCACTTGGGGAGCCCCCACCCCCTTTGCCCCCCCCACTGACCCTGTGACCACTGTCCCCATGCAGCATTGGAGACCCCCAACCTCTTGGGCACCCTGGCCCTGGGGAGCGTCCCCTGGAGATCCTGCCCCCCCCTTGTGCTGGGCGCCTCCCCCCCCCCAACCCAGCCCTGGAGCCTGCACCCTTTGGGGGGAGACCCTCACCCTTTGCATAGGGGCTTATGAAGTCTCCCTTTTCCCTTTGTGGGGGTGAACAGGGTGAGGAGCTGTGGTCGGGGTATAGGGGAGGGAGTCCCTCACCCTGCCTGGGGTCTCCCATCTCCTGAGCCCTGGGTGTTGGGGCCTTGTGGGGGCAAAAGCTGCTGGGGGGAGGGGCCCCTTCTCCCTCGTGGGGTGCGGCGGGATGCTGTTCTATGACGAGACCTATCACAGACCTGTGCTGACGGCCGTGTGAAGACCCCCATGATATCTGAGGACAGACCTGCCTGGGTTTCGGGGGGGTGTATGCCTCCTGACTGCCTGCATGTTAATTCTGCCCTCCTTTCTCTGCTAGGTCTGGTGGCCCTGGTGCCTGCCCTGTGCCCAGGTGAGTCGCAGGCTCCCCTCTTCTGAAGGGGTAATGACGACGTGCGGTGACTGGGCGGGGGATGGATATGTGCCGTGCCACAAGGACGACACCAGCGAACTCTCTCTTACTGATGCTTCAGTGGAGAAAGCCTTTACCAGATTCTGAGTGGCACCGCAGGGTCCCACCCCAGGCGGTGGGCTGGGCTGGGCTGTGTCTTGGTGTGTGGGGTCTCACGCATGTCTCCTCCCTCAGGCATGGATCACACCAGCTGCAGGTGCCTGCAGCTTCTCTGCAGGTGAGTGCTGCTCCCTGTGGGCGTGAGGCTCTGGCTGGGATGGGGGCAGGGCTGGCGCGTACCTGCTCCCCGCCTGTTCTGTGATGAATAGAAAACAGACAAGCATATGGCTGAGTGTCCCTGATGCCAGCTTCCTTCTGAGAACCTGGGAGCCCTGCTTGACCCCATAGGGGAAGGGGGGGTGGGTATTGGGAGGGTCTTCATTCCCTCTCTCTTTACCTGTGATACCTTGTAGGGGGTTGGTTTTATGGGGGGGCTGGGCTTTTGAAGCCCTGAGATCCTCATCTCCTCGTTGCAGGTTGAAAGGCTCCTCTGTGGAGGCTGGGCTGTGGCTGTGCTCATGGAGGTAGGTTGTGGGGCTGGACTGGGCTTTGGGGGGGTCTGTGGGACTGAGAGGATAGATAGGGGAGGGAACCCTCTTCCAGACCCTGGCTGGTGCCAGTGCTATCCTGGGGGGCTCGCAGGCCAGCGATCTGAAAGGATGACTCTTGTTGGTTGGACGACTCATGTCTCATGGCAATTTGTTACCAAAGCCCTGATCAGACCGCAGCTGCCTCTGCTCCTGCCCCAGCCTCAGCCCCCTGCATCCCCTCACCCTGTTGTATCGTCTTGTCTCTTTTCAGGCAGGACCCCTGGAGCCTGGCAGTGGTGAGTAGCCCCTGCCCCCCATCATAGCTCCCAAGCTGCAAACCCCCAGCCCAGGCCTGTCCCAATGAGGAGACTTGCACTTGTCTTACTGCCTGTTCTGGTGCCAGAACCTGCAAAGGTTGAACCCACTGGTGCCGGCAGCCGGAGAGGAGGATGACCCGTTCTAGCTGGAACTGTCTGATGGGACTCTTGGCTTATCATGGGGGCTAGGGGTGCCTGGGGGCTGTGTGGTGGGTGCCTATAACCGGATGCTCTGGTTCTCCCCAGGTGCTAGGAGGGAACATTGCTGCTGGCTTCTGCCCAGGTGAGTGCCTGGTCCCTGGCCCCCAGGGCTGCCCGCTGACGGGATGAATTCACTCTGGAATCTCGTTCGGCTGAATGCTGCTGTTGAGAATCGGACTCTGAGTGTCACGGGCGCTCCCTGCCTCTGTAGAGCCCTCGCCTTTGTCCCTGCTCTGCTTGGGGCCTCTCAAACAGTTCCTTACCCTCACCCAGGCTGAAGATCCTTGGCGAAATCATCTGGCTGCAGTGACTAGGCTGTGAGTGCCCCTCCCATGGCTGCCTGGCACGGAAGAGAAGAGGCTGGAATGAACCCTCTGGAGTGCAGAAGGGTGAGAAGCTTCCCTTGCTGCAGGCAGGGGCATGTGGGTGGCTCTGACTGCGGTTTTGTGATGAGTTCAACTAGCTCACTTTGATGCATAGCGTGAAAACCTTTGAACACCTGAAAGACCGTGAGGAGGGGGCTGGGGAGCCGACACACCCTGTGCCAGGGGCTTACTGTACTGCTTTCTTTCTGCAGGGAGAGCCGAGCTCCTGGCTTGGAGGTGACCCCCACATGGTGAGCGCTCGGGGCCTCAGGAGGTGGGGCAGCAAACCCTGGTCAAGGATGAGGCTTATACCGCCCCAGTCTGAACTCTGTGACTGAGTGGTCCCTCTGAGGCCAGTGGCTGCAGCCCTGTGTGGTGTGGGGGGAATTAGGCCTGATACCTCACCTCAGGGCTGGATGAGAGGAATTGGGGAGAGTGGGGGGGTTGTAGGTTGCATATTCAAGCTGTGGTGAAGGAGCAGGACCCATTTCTCACTACTCTTTGCTTGCAGGTTGGAGCACTGAAGAGGTGATGTGGCTGCAGCAGGAACACGCTCCTCTCCTCCCCCTTGCTGTGTACCCAAAGGGCAGCTGGCCGGGCAGGGATGAACCCAGCTGCTGTCTGTCTGTACTGGGCCTACTGAATAAAAACACCTCTGTCCAAGGCAGCTGTGGCCTTTTTTGTGCGTGCGTGTGCGCGTGCGTGTGTGCGCGTGCGTGTGGCCAGCCTAGAGCTCAGCTGCTGGGGTGGGGTGGTCACCCTCAGTTGCAGCCTTGACCTGGATTCTCCCTCCCCAGCTGTCTACATCTCTGTCCAGCATCCACTGTGGGGGAGGGGCAGTCCCCTTACCTACATCAGCCCCCTCCTGGGCCTTGGCATTGCGTAGGAGGGGATGGAGTAGTGGATGTACGGGGGGG